TATGAGGTTGAAAGAAATTCTGTGATCGAGCTGTCAGATGCACCCTTTTAACCCCTCATAAATCCTCTTTTCGACAGTTTCCAGGCTTGACCGAGGTATACTCAATTCGATATAATAATCCGGCTGAAAGCATAAAATTGTAAGTGTTCTGGTTTGTGGTCCACCAAGAAAAATCGTTCAGGCACCCACCTGATCGAGCACCCAGCAGGGTTTAATGTAAATATTTGAGGGATATTATTCCAACAAAGAAAACGGTAATGCACAGATACATGACAACAACCTAATGGCCTATAATCGCGTCTTTTAGAGCGAATGTAAATATACCTACTGAAGGAGGACACGATTGTGATTCTTCGAAGAAATTTTTGTCATTATGACGACAACATTAGTGTTGAACCTTCCTTCTGAGGAGTATAAAAGCTCTCAGAGCAACACGTTCCGCATCTGATCACCGCGTCACCATGATGCGTTTACTATTCTATCTGGCGATGGTTGGACTAGTTCTGGTGGGTCTTTAGCCATGTAGCTCCAAGAAATGGTCCATCCATGCTTCCAAGCCGATGAACTCGGTGTCGGAGAGATTCTTCTAGTTTCTACGGGCATTGATCCTACAGGGTAGTAGGGTCTGCCCACCACTTACTGATAACCAAGGTGTTTTCTGCCTTAGTATAACGTCATTGAGGCCTTCATGATGAATTCTTTTACCTTCTTGTGAGCTCCTCTGATGGGTTTTTGTAAGCCTGCGCCCTGTACGTTATAGGATCCGATCAAAAACAAATCTACCGGACCTTTCTTGCTGGGACTGCCCCACTCGAAAGATCAAAAGATCTAAAACAATGGCGTACTCTGCTCGGTGTCGCTTTTGCACCCTTACGATTTCAATTTTCAAGAGCTGTCACCAATCGAATAAACTCGATGATGAAGATATCAATTTGTTCGACGATGAAGATGAGGACGAAGATGAGAACGGCGGGCAGACGGCAACGATTTTCGTCCGGTCCAAGTACAAGTGGAATAAAGGCACTAATAGTGCTGTCCAATCAGGTTTCCAAAAAATTGTCAGTAAGCGGCATAGAACTTTTGCCATTTCTTGTCAGCTTTTCTGGAGCACATTTAGTTTAGCTTACACCACAACTTAGCCAGCTTGGTGATATTGAAAGCGTGGAAGCTGAAAACGATAATGGCAATTTCGCAATGGTCTATACCATTTCCAACACCGACTGTGACATGGTATACTCAAAGTGTATCTCTTTTTTTTTCAAGAAATTCTCAATTTTCATGTGTTTAGCGGCTTGCCGAGATTACCTTATATTCCACACAATTTCAGGTGGATATAGCCAAAGAAAGAATTGAAGCCGCCAAAAAACACATTGATAGTGTAGAGGTGGAATGTGAATAAGTACGGAAAACTACTACCAGCTTATTCACTTCCTAAACTTCTCAATAAATTCTGTAAAATGATATAAATGACCGCAATCAAGCTTACTGTTGTAACGAGTGCCTCAACACAAACCCAGGTCCTGCTGACATATGAGGGCGATCACCCCGTCTTCGGGAGATCGCTTGAAAATTGCGCTTGACTCATATCCTGAGGCATTCTCGTAAAGTGAACAAACATCAAAGTGAAGGGCCACAGATGTTCAGTTCAGGGTTTCAGAGATGTTTCTCGAATGTTCTATGGTAAATTGCAAAAGAACAGTCCACAAAAAGTCCAGAACCGTACATCGGCTGCGAAACAGCGCGGAAATCCGTAGAATTCCCGAATCATAGCGGTTCTTTCGAAGAATTATGGGGACGTTTGAGATTATCCCGACGGAAGTGGTATAGAAAGGGAACTTGCACGAGGTTAAGGTCATATATAGCTGCCTGGAGAGCTGGATACAGTGTTCCAAAAATGATAAAAACTCCCTAACGTTGTTGTCATGGGTCATGACTGGCTGTTCGAATTTTCAAATATATGCTTCATTGTGAATGGTGCAGCCTTTGCAGCTGCTAAAACACGGCCACTTCTGGGTGTGCTTAAAATGGATGGCTTTTTACGAGGCATTGATACCTGCTATCTACATAGACCGTCACTCGGCCCGACAATGGTCCATATGCTACCTAGGTAGAGGAGGAGGCCGGCGAGAAGATTTGTCACATGGGAAATCAGAAGTCATTTTTCCGTTGTGTCCTCAAGATATGCACAAATTGACGAAGAAAAATCGGTGAGTATGGAGTCGGAATTCGAACGATCTTGCAAATTCAGTAGCATTTGCAGGGTCCAGTTTACAGTTACCACAATTAGGAGCTAGGCGCATTAGAGCCCGTAAAAGATTAATTGGCAACCCGTTTATACTCTGCGACTTGCACACTAGTCGCTTGTCGACGCCTTGTAAGCCGAAAAATGCATCATAAGATAATTCGTACATTTCAAATAGGTAGGTGGAGGAGAACGTATTGGCCATGGATTTTTTGTCCTTGGAAGTATTGCTTAATGTGTACCGTAAACAAATAAACCGAATAGACTTCTTAAATATATGGATGTGATCAGTGCACGAAAATGAAAAAAAAAATTGTCAGAGGGATAATGCCCAAAAATGGAAAAATGTAGAGCTGTCAAGAATCAAACTCACATGGAAAGGCGAATCGAGCAGCTTTATCGATGGCTAGCGCCCTTCGGGAATATCGTAATGCTTTGTACATTAGACTAGTCGAACTCTTACCCATGTGGTTTTTCATCGACAACGGACTTTCATCATATTCAGAATCATAATCATCTTTCGTTGCTGGAACTAAATAAGTAGATACGGTATTACTGATTGATGCGAAACATTTTAAGAGTACCGTAACCATAAAGTACGGTATTATTGATTGATGCAAAATATTTGAAGAAAACCTACAAATAGCTTGTTTGTGACCGTATCCATTTT